CTCCACCCTGTGCTGTAATCTTGTCTCCTGCGCATCATCTGCCCAGCACCCCTACCCGTTGTGCACTCCTGCGCTTCTCTCCTCCCCAAGATTTGGCAAGGGTGTCTGCACCAGATGCTGATAGATGGATGGTCGTGGGGACCCTTGGTAAAAGCCCGCGGAAGCCGGGCTGAAGGTCACGTCTCAGACTCGCTTTCACACGCATCACCCACCACCCTGGGATGCTGCGTCACAAGGGGAGGCGCGCGCCGCGGCTTGTGCAGGCCGGGCACGAGCGCAAGTGCGTACTCAGGCTACTGCAGTCGCCAGCGCTGGGGTCCTGTCCCTGCCCCCACACTCCCCTTCTAGCCTGCTGCAACCACGCCCCCACCCTCGTGCCCTTGCACCCCTTGCTCTACCGCTGGCGGTGGTTCGCCTCTGGGTGAAGGGCTCATGAGCTGCGTGACCTAAGCAAACCGGGAGCAGGCACAGGTGCTGGAGGCTTTGCACGTTCCAGCCCCCTGTGGCCGCGCATCCAACACTTTGGCAGGTGGTTCTGGAAGAGTACACCTCCTGCGTCCTTTCTACTTCCTGCCTGCCTCACAGCCATCTCCATCGCGCCCCAGGTAGAGGATCCTCGGTGCTCCGGCCCAACGCCAGTTCTGTTGCTCCCCTTCTCGACTCCTCTACTTCCTTCTCCCCCCTTGTCCACACTCAGACACAGCTGATGAGGAGTTGGAACTGGCGTCCGCTGCCCACCTTGGGGACGCACAGCTCCCACTGGCTCTCCGAGACCCGCAGGGGTGGAGCCAGCACACAGGGAGAGGGATGAAGTCACTGTAGGCCAGGTGGGCTGATGTCCAGCAGTCTTAAGACTCCTTCACTCCCCAGCGGTGCCCAGGTCAGGGCACGGGGCAGCATGCCTGGCCTTTTCTGAATGTCCAGGATGCGACTGGCCCACGGAGCCTCCGGACAACCCGGGAGGGAATCACCTCCTCCATTCCACCCCCAGTCAGTAGGGTTGCCCCCCAACCCTAGTCCTGAGAGGCCGGAGGACCCCCCCACGCCAAGTCAGCAAAGCCCGCCCGGCCCTAGGCAGAGACCCCAAGGGAAGAGGGCGGTTGTGCCTGGCTTTTCTGGCAGCCACCAGATCCCCTGAAGTGCTCCTGCATACATTAGCACCCTGCACACCCTACACAGGCACAGGCGCCACACCCGCACATCCTCAAACTGCGCACATCCTTCCTTGCACACTCCTGCACACACTCGGGCCCCTTCACCCCCACTCTACAAGGAGAAACGCGGAAATGGCTCACTGGCGGTTCCAACGGCAGCTGCTGCAGGAATCGGTAGCGGGAGGACGGGAATGCGGATGTGGATGCGGAGGATGCAGTTCCAGACGCTTCGCAGCAGCCGGGGCGGGGCGGGCGAGGGGCTGGAGCCGCGAGACCGAGGCTGCGGTTGCCATGGAGACTTCTGCTGGAGGAGGAACCACAGCAGTCAGGCCACCCTCCCACATCAGACCTGTCCCCGGCCCCCACCCTCCCAGGCATGCACCCGTCACTCACTCACACACCTCACACATGCCTCACATACTTCATGCACACTTGTCACACAGCATCCTCACACTTCAGCTCAAACACTGACCACACAAATCCGCCCTTCTCCCCACACATTCACACCACCTCACTGCAGGGGACAGACCCCTGGACCAGCTGAGCCCTTGCTCCCTAACCTGGGAATCCCTGGGTCTCCAGCAGACCTGGTTTGGTGCTCAGACTGCCCTCTCCCCAGCCCCTGGCTTCCCACTGGTTTGGGGCAGCTGGAGTCAGGGACAACTAGATTTGGCCCCCACTCTCCCAGAGGATGATCTCCCTGGAACAGCATCTGAACCCCTGGGCCGTAAGCTTTCCTGGGGTGAGCCTCGTCTTTCCTAGTCACCTGGTGACTGTGCATCGTGCTTCCCACAGTGTGTCATTGGCAGGTGTGACCCTTGGGTCCTGGGCAGCAGTTGTTGGTGGACCACGGGGCCTTCACCACATAACCATTGCACGCATGCATCATGCTACATCCATCAGTGGGCGTCTGGATTGTTGCCGGACATACATTGTTTATAATGTTAAGCACTCCTTTCCAGTCCTTAGTAGACGCGTGCTTTCATTTCTCTTGGGTAGATGCTAATTCAAGTCATAAATTGATGTTTAGCTTTCTAAGAAAACACCACAAGGATTTTCCACACTGGCTGCAGCATTTTACATTTCTACCTGCAGTGTATAAGGGGCCCAGTTTCTCCACGTTCTCACCAACACTTGTTGTCTTTTTTTATTATAGTTGTCTGTAGTAGCCTGCTTGGGCTACCATAACCAAATTACCACAGATGGGTGGTTTAAACAACAGAAATTAATTTTGTCCCTGTTCTGGAGGCCAAAGTCTGAGATAAAGGTATTAGCAGGATTGGTTTCCCCTGAGGCCCCCCATTCTTTTTTTTGTTTTTTTGAGACAGGGTCTCACTGTGTAATTGAGACTGACCTGGAACTCACTATGTAGCCCAGGCTGGTGTCAAACTCACAGTGATCCTCCTGTCACAGCTTCCCAAGTGCTGGTATTACAGGCGTGCACCACCACGACCGGCTGTCCCCCATTCTTAACTTGTAGGCAGCATCTCTTTCCTGTGTCTTGATACAGTATTCTTTCTATGTATCTGTTCCTAGTCTCCTCTTCTACAGACAGCAGTCATATTTGATTAGGGCCCACACTAATGCCCTCATTTTAATTCAGCTGCCCCTTTAAAAACCCTGTCTCTATTGCTGGACATGGCACTTGCCTGCAATTCCAGCACTTGGAAGGCTGTGGCAGGAGATTGCCACAAGTTTGAAGCCAGCCTGCGCTACACAGGCCCGTCTGGGATACACAACAAGACTCAATCTAAAACAAAAAAAAAAAAGTGTCTCCAAATACAGTCACATTTTGAGGGTTAGAACCTCAATATAAGACTTTAGGGGAGATGATTCAGCCCATACAACCATCCAAACAGGAGTGTAGCGGTGCCTTGTTGTAGTATACATCTGCATTACTCTAATAATTAAAGATGCCGAGAATCTTTTCATGGATCTATTATCTTTCTGTATACTGTATCTCCTTTAGTGAAGTATCTGTTCAGATGTTCTGAACACATTTCAATTAGGTTATCTTAAATTATAAGAATTATTAACATATTCTATACACAGGTCCTTTTCATTTAAAAATAACTGGTAAACAAAGACTATGTAATTAAAAGTGGATGTGACACTTTGATATATGGACATATTGTGTAATGATCATCACAATCTAATTATCACACACATCACCACCCTTGTACATTGATCCCCAGAATCTGTGCATCTTATCGCTTGCAGTTTGTACCGTGACAACATACCATTTCCTCATTCTATGGCCCTACTCAACAGCTACTGTTCCACTTTGGGCTTCCAAGATCATACAGTGTTTGTCTCCTTGTGTCTGGGTTATTTTACTTAGCATAGCATCCTGAAGACTCACCCACTCATCTGCTGAATCTCCAGCACGGTGCTGAATGAAAGTAGTGAAAGTGGGCTTCCTTGCCCTTTCCCAATATGGAGGGAGCTGTTAGTGTTCTACTGCTAACAATGATGCTTGTCACAGGATGCTTGTAGATGTTCTCTTAGTGGGTTTAGGAAGTTCCCGTCTATTCCTGTGGCACTGGTATCTGCTGTCTCCCCTGTGGGTACTGTGCCCACCCATTCTCTGTGGTGCTGGGGATTGAACTCAGGACCTAGCCCTGGTTTGTTAAGTTTTTTTTCTTTTTAAACAGTGAATGAACATTGGACTTTCTCAGATGATTTTTTTGTGTGTCTATTACAATAGTGAATTCTTTTCCTCCTTCATTCACAGCACAGCAGCACAATTAATTGACTTGTAATTTTTTTTTTTTTTTTGAGACAGAGTCTCACTGCATATCTCGGGCTGGCCTTGAATGCACTGTGTAGCTCAGGCAGGCCTCAAATTCCCAGAGATCCTCCTGCCTCAGCCTCCCAAGTGCTGGGATCAGAGGCACATGCCACCATGCCCCACTTTTAAAAATATTAGGCCAACTTTTCACTCCTGGAATAAATTCCTTTTCATGTGTTGCAGAATTTAGCTAATATTTTATTAGGGATCTTTGTGTCTGTATTCAGGAGGTCTGTAACTTTATCATAGTGTCCTTGTCTAGTTTTGGTATACAGGTAGGCCTGATTTCATGGTCTTCATTTCCTCTGTGGATGTGAAAGACTGGTGTATTCCTTCTTCACATGTTGCCTGCTGGCCCCATTGTTTCTAATAAGAAGTTAGTCATTAATGGAGGCTATATTCTTGTAGCATTTTCTCTCTCATCTTTTTATTTTTATTTTATTTATTTATTTTTTGGTACTGGGATTGAACTCAGGACCTTGTGCTTGGGAGGAAAGTGGCATCTCTTTCCTTTCAAAAATTTTTCCTCTGTCTCTGGACAACAGTTTGGGTATTCATTGGTTGTTTGTTTGGTTTTGTTTTTAGGAGACAGGGTCCTCCTATATTGCCCAGGCTGGCCTTGAAGTCCCAGGCTCAAGGGATTTTTCTGTTTCAGCCTCTCAAGTAGCTGAAACCACAGGTACACAGCAATGACTTGGTTCTTTTAATTAATGATTTATAGTCGTTTCATCATATGGTGGACTCTCAAATTACGACTGGTCTGACATACAAACAACTTGGATTAATTAAGTTAATGGAATATTCATCTGCCTCTTGTTGTCTATAGCTTGTACCTAGATAAACATCCAGATCTCAGCTATATTAATTTAGTTACAACCAGCCCTCAGGAACTGATTGAGTTCTTAAGTCAAGGGTCCACTGTACTCTCCTTTATCTTTTGCTTGTTTCGTTAAAGTTGGGTTTTTTGTTTGATTGGTTTTTCTTTTCTTTTTTTTTTTTTTTTCTAGAGACAGGGTCTTGCTATGTAGTTCAGACTGTCCTTGAGCTCATGAAGTAGCCCAGGCTGGCCTCAAACTCGCCACAATTCTCCTGCCTCAGTTTTTAAAATTCTGGTATTACTGGCATTCACTGCCAAGTCCAGTTTAATCTCCTTTATCTTTAAACATGATTTCCACTAATTTTTTTTTGTCTGCTAAGTCTAACATCTGGGTCCACTCAGAGGTAGTCTCTATTATGTGCTTTCCTTGAATGTTGGTCACACTTTTCCAGTTTCTTTGACTGTCTTGTAATTTGAGAATGAAAACATGGTTTAATTGGCTCATCAATGTAGCAAATGCATTGCTCCAGAGCAAGATGGTGAGAAAGGAGAAGCTGGGTGAGAGGCAGAGGGGAATTTTGTGCTTTCTGCTCAAATTTTCTCTGAACTTAAAGTTGCTCAAATACAAAGTCTAGTTTTAGTTTTAAAAGTACTAGATGTTTTTCAATTGCATATTGCAGCCATTTTGAATCCTGATATTTCACTCCTGAGAGTGGTTGCTGCTTTTGCTTATTGGTTTATTAATCTTCCTGAGCCAAATCTGTGGGCTGTTTCGTTGTTGTTGTTTTGTTTTTTTGTAACAGGTGGCACTGATGTCTTTCCCAGTTCAATACAGTGTTTCAGTCCAGCTCGCAGGGTCCTTAGTGTCTTCATCTGTCTTCAAGTACCTTAATCTGTGGGCTCTGCTCCAAAGAATAGGAGTGAAAGTCAAGAAGATAAGCGGTAGCCTGAGGCCAGCAGGGGACGCAGTGCCCTAAGGGAGGGGCCTCCCAGGAGCTGGGATTTTAGGCTTGGGAAGGCCCAGGGTCCCTGCAGGGTTGCATTTAGTGTGGGAGGAGATTCCAGAGGTGAGGAGCTGGTCCTGATTAGGCAGTGCTTGCCTTTGGGAGTTTAGGTGGTGCTGACACCTTCCTTTCAGGATTTCTCTGCTTCTCTTCAGGGACCTACAGGCTTGCTATGGCCAGAGGAGTAGAGAGAGCAGGTGGGGGTGGAAGGATGAGAGCAGGGAGGGTTGGGGAGAGGGGGGAAGGATAGGAGGGGAGGGGTATGAGGAGGGGAGCAATGTGAAGACGGAAAGAGAAAAGGAAGACTGGAGAGGGATGGGGAGAGTGAGATCATCTGAGAAGGGGGACGGGGAGCCATGGGGAGACTGTGGGGTGGAGTGGTGGGGGTGGTCAGGGGAAGAGTGGTAGGGCGGGACGAGAACAGGGGATGCCGGGCAAGACTGGAATAGTGGGTAGTTTGTGACTCTTTCTGGGTCAGCGCAGATGTGTGGGGTGCACCAAGGCCCCCATGGATTCATCGTTCCTGGTCTTCCTGAAGCTCTTTTTGGCCTGCTGTCATTGCTGTCTGCCACCCCAGCTCCCAGAGCCACTGGCGCCTGCTGTCTCCCCTGCGGGCCCACCCATCTGCATCTGGGGTTAGGTGGGAGGCATCCTCCCTTCCATTCTCACCGTCACTTCTCGGAGCAACCACTCACTTCCTGATTGCTCCTCTGCTACGGATCGAGGTCCGGAACCTGAAATTGTTTTTTATAATCCTTACCCCATCCCATTAGAATCCCAGCTCAGCCACAGGAATCTTGAGCCTGGCAGACCAGTGGCTCAGCTCCAGGGCAGCAGCCGCCCAAGTGCTGGTGCCCTGAGGGGCTAAAGAGGGCAAGTGAAGAGTATGGTGAGATGGTTCTCAGACTCCACAACTCCAGGTTAACCATTCTGTTTAAGGTGGTAGCAGCCGGGTCTGGAGTCAGTCAGTGGCTTCTAGTCAATACCCCATCTTCCGGGTCACAAAGCCAAAGTATTGCCCGTGCAGGATCCTTGACCTGGTATGGCCTGAGGGGAGGACAGGAGTGGATGGGAGAGTGGGTGATTGTGTTGGGAGATGAGGGTCTCGTGGTGGGGGGCGAGGGCAATCTGGTGCTGACGTGCTCAGATAGTGAATGGGTCTTGGTGCGACAGGCAGGCGGAGTGGGCCAGGAGGACATATGGGGGAGTAGGGACCTCAGGAGACAGCTCAGGTGTCTGGGCCCATGATCCAGACTGGAGTAGGGCTGGGCAGCTGCGGGCCCAGCCACCAGAGCAGCAGGGTTGCTGGGTACTGACCTCTGAACAGACACACCCCACATGGAGGCAATAAAACCCTAAATAGCCTGGATGGGAGGAACTGGGCCAGGCACATAACTCCTGGATCTTTGACTACAGCACCCCAGAGCACCTGGACGCTGAGAAGAGGACCCGATCATGAGGAGGTGATGCCGGGACCCCTGAGCCCCCTAACCACCAAAACCTGGCAGCTTGCCAGGTGTGACCAGCAGTACCCTGGCTGCAGGGACAGGAGCCCTGGCTCAGAGACTGCCTCTGAGGGCTCTCTGTCCCCACTTCAGGCTTCCAGGGAGGGTCTGGGAGGGAGGAGAAGGGTTCCCAGATCACAGGGTCAGACCATGTTTGCTGGCGACATCTGGAACACTTCCCAGGTGGATGGGGATGAGCCCACTCCTTCCCATCTCCCGGGGCTTCTCCGTTCTTTATCTGTCCGGAGTCTGTATCCAAGGCCCACCTCTGAGGGCAGCTCCAGAGCCCCAGGTGTGCACTACAGTGCCTATCATGGGACACCCTGGGAGGAGGAGGAGGCACCAGGCTGTGACAGCCAAAGAACAGGAGTGGGAGTCAAGAAGATAAGCGGTAGCTGGAGGCCAGCAGGGGACGAAGTGCCCTGAGGGAGGGGCCGCCTAGGAGCTGGGATTTTAGGCTTGGGAAGGCCCAGAGCCCCTGCAGGGTTGCATTCAGTGTGGGAGGAGATTCCAGGGGTGAGAACAAGGGTAAGTCCCCTGCCCAATGTGGAACTCTGTTGGGGGTCCTGAGGAGATACAAGGTAGCTGAACCCTATTAGGGTTTATCCCCACCCCAGGCTTCCAAGGCATCCCCACTCCTCCCTTTGACTCCAAATTCTGAAGTACTGAGTCACTAGGGAAGGAGCAAAGGTTTTTGTGATGCTGCAACCGCACACGACACACATGTACACATCATGCACCACACCACACACTTCTCACACATACCAGACTCGATACACCACAGACACAACACACACACAACACGCGTGTTGCATACTGTGTGCAGACAGATGCACCATCCTGCCTGCATGATGGGCTGCTCAGCAATGTGGGTGCTCCCTCAGGGTGTTGTGATGTAGCCCCATGCTTGGGACTTCATCCATCCTCATCAGTGTGATTGCAGCCATCATGGGCTACTGTGAACCACACTACTGAACCGACTCCCACTTAATGTATGTACTTATGCCTATGCCCAACTACACGTGTGAGCCTGTGTGGCCTCTGGAATCCCCAGCATTGTCACTGCTTGCTACAGTGGGGTCTATGCAGGCTGTGGGGTGCAGTCAGGGGGTGTGAAGTGGCCCTGGCCTGACAGCACGGGAGCAGGCATGTGCCTGGGTATCTCATCTCTCAGTGCCTGCGATTCCCTTTCTGTGAAATGAAGTATAAACTACCTGCGTGCCCCTCCAGGAACCTACCTAGGACTCCCTGTGGGCCCACCACCAACTGCTCATCCAGGTCCTGTCAGGGTAGAGTTGAGAGGGGTGCTCATGCGCAGGGGCAGCCCCTTACCAGCCTTACACCCCTTCCTGGTCTCCCAGGCTTTTCCTGGTTACCTGCCTGGTGGCTGTGCTGCTTCAAGAGGATGGTGCAATCCCAGCACCCGAGGTATGCAGGTCCCTCTGCCTGGCCCCTAACCATGACTGTCACGCTATGCTCCAACAAGCAGGGAATGTTGGGGAATGGCCTCAGCGCCCATCCCCAGCCACCTCAAGCTGGCCTAGGAGAGTAGAAGCACAGCACTGACATGATTGTAGATACCACGTGACTGGTCACTGAGGTCTGGCCTCAGAATGAGGAGGCACAGACCTCTTTCCACTTGGGTCTGATGGGCAAGCCCCCATGACACTCAAGTGACCCTAGGTGGGGTACATGGCATCGATGGCACCTAGGAAGACAACATGTAGTTGGGCCTCCTTGATGCTCACGTGGGCAGAGTGGTCAGATACACTGTGCCAATAATGGTGGCCTGGGCTATGGCTATGCAGGCTGGGAGCGATCAAGATGAGGGAGACTCCTTCACAGCCACTTCACGGTGGCCTGGAGTGTGCAACTCCTCTGGCAGCCCACTTTGCATTGCTTTCCTCTTTCTGCCTCACAGGGTGCTGGACTAACAAGAGCTGACCTTCTTTGAAGATCTCCAGCCAGAGAAGGGAGGTGCAGGGGTAGCCTTAACTAATCTCTGCAGAAAGCAGGCAGTGCCCAGAGGGCTGGGGGTGTAGTGGGGTCTCAGAGCCAGAAGGTGAGGTCCCAGTTCCTGTCTGGATAACATGGACTTCCCCAGGCCTGGCCAGGAAACAAAGTGGGCTGGTGATTTGGGGCCAGACTGGTGGCATGACTCCCCTTGCCTATAATTACCATTACCTCCTGAAGACACATGCAGGCTTTCCTGGGCTGGCAGGCCCTGCCTTTATCCCCACTTCAGCCTTGGAGCAGCCTCTCCACAGGTGTCCTTTGACCTTGGGCCACTGAGTGGCGAAGTCCATACCTATGACTTACTCTTCTAGGTCCCTGACAAGATCAAAGGCAAACATTCAGCCTCTGAGCAGGACACAGAGAAGTAAGTACCCCAGATGCCCCCTTGTACTCTCTCCTAAAGCTTGGCCTATTCTTTCTGGGCCCTTCTTCAACCTGGAGTACACTGGGCAGATGGAGAACCCTGTCCAGCTGCCTCTAGCTCCATATCCATGAGAGGGGTATGGGGGTTTTGGGCCATGTCCCCTATCCAGCTCCCCTGCAGTGCCCACAAAGAAAGGCTCAGTCTTGGACCAGAATGGTTTCTGACCTCCCTCACTCTCGAAGGCTCTGACCTCCCGACACTTAGTGGATCAAGGATGCAGCAGGGATACCTAGTCAGGTGCTTGTCTGTAGCTCCTGAGGCAGTTGATGGGCAGTGAGCAGAAATGGATGGCTTCACAAGGCCAGCAGCTGCCTGGGGGGTGGTGAGTACCCCTCCCCACCTGTACCTGAACCTGACCCAGTTGTATGGGCAGGGCCTGGAGCGACCACATCTTGCAGCCTCTGACGAAGGATAACCAGCTGGAGGATCTGTTCCCTGTGCCAAAACCAAGCCTTGTAGCCACTGAGGAGAAGCCAGGTCAGGGTAGGACTAAGGCCACAGAGGGAGAAGGCTGCCCCATGGGGTTGAGTTTGAAGGATTGGGCCAGTGGAAGGGGGTGAAGGGGAGACTCCTGTAAGGGAAACTGAGGCTGTGGTTCCATTTGGCTGTCCCCAGGCAACAAAGCCTGGGTGGAGACTGAGGACATTCTGAGCCATTTTCGGAGACCCCAGCAGGATCCTGAGCCTGACTGCGACAGTCTGTACCATCCTGCATCTGAGGAGATCCAGGTCAAGGAAGAGCCCTTTTCGTGGGCAATGCTGTCTCGCCAGGTGCTGCAGGGGCCAGAGGAGGACCTAGACCATATCTACCACCCCGTGGAGGAGTCCTAGGGGCCCTGAACACTCTTATACTCTTGCCCCGAGGCCCAGGCTGTCAGGATTGCTGATCCTTCTCAGCTAGAAAAATAAATTCCTGCAAACAGAAGTGGAAGGCTATGTGCTTCTTTAAGGCCAACAACCCTGGATCCCAACCTGCTTTCTAGCAGGAAGGAGGTGTACTTGCCCTGGGCTCCCTGGGAAAGCAGAGAAGAGACCCAGGTAAAGAGAGGGCTAGGGAGGCTGAGACAATTGGCACTCTGGTGGACAGGTACTCTGCTAGACAGGCATGTAGGCATACAGTTGTGTAGGTATATTACATGTGCTCAGGTGGACAGGTGCAAGCACACAGAAGCTCAAGTGAATTGACCAGCATAGGTCCGGTATGCAAACATGTTGTCCTAATTTTGTGGGTGGCCATCCAGCCATCTGGGATGCCAGTCCTTCTGCAGGAACCTTTTCAACAGGCCCAATGCTTTAGCACAGGCACAGGCCACTAGTTATCTCACACTGTGCACACAGTGGGGCACCTGGCAACCATGCTCTGCAGTGAGGGAGAAGTACCTAGGGCCAAACCCTCTGACCTCAACCACACAAATTCACCAGCTCTGCTACCAACTCTTGATCCTGATGTCCCTGACTGGCATGCAGCTGCTGTGTTTGTCCAGGTGACCTCACACGCCCTAGAACTTGCTGTGTCCCCTAGCATTCTCTCCCAAGTATATGAATGGTACATGTGCTTCCCTGCCTCCAAGCCCTACAAAGTAGGAGCCTGGTCCCCACATTATGAGTGAGTCCATATCCCATTATGGATGAACTCACCAAGGCCAAGACTGTGAGCTTCAAGGTCCTGCTCTGATAAGGGTAGAGCAGGTCCATTGTCACCTCAGTGTGCCTCACCTGTCATCCTATAAGAACTAGGACAGGGTGGTTAGCTCAGAATCAATAGAGCAGAGCAGTGTCAGCAGAGGCTACAGAATCTCAGGAGGTCCTGAATCCCTGAGGTATATGTGTGTTCACAGCACTCCCCTCCCAGGTCACTCCTATGTCAGGTCAGAAATGGCCAGGGGCCACTACCAGAGCAACTCAGGCACAGGTGGTCAGCGACTAGTGCCCACCACCCCTGAGAAAATCAGACCCAGGCCAGGGATTTAGGCTGCCCCATGTTGACTCCCTTCTCTAGGTCCCAGGCAGGTGGAAGACCTGTGAATTTCTGAGGCTCCAAGAGTCTAGCCTCTGCTAGGCCTGAAGGTGGGCACTGGCCAAGGTGGAGTTCCACAGCCATGCCTTTTTCTAACCTTGTTTGAGCCAGTCCTGTGGGTATTTCCTCCAGCTCCTGAAGCGCATAACTGGATGTGTTCAGGAGAGGCAGAGGGAACCTGGGACTCAGGAGTTTGCCACCGTGGCAAGCAGCCCACCGAGACAGAGGGAAGCACAAGCTAACTCTGCCTTGCAACCTGAGACCTGGGGACAACAGGCTGAGGGACGCTGGGGAAGTCTCTCAATCCAAAACAGGCCTGAGACAGGCCTTCTTCACGCACCTCATGGAAACAGGGAGGGTAGGGGTAGCCTTCAAACTTCTTCCCCTCTTAAATTCTCACTGCAGTCTCTGCATTCATCCCTCTCATATCAGCTGGGTAACCAGCCATTTGGGTGGTGCTGACTGAGTGCTTTGCCAGAAAGCAAAGTCACTTTACTAGGCAACAGTGACTGGTGGACAGGGGCCATGCCAGAGGGGCAGATGGGATGGTCAACAAGGTATATGGCCAGGCTTTGGTGGGGTTCCTTTATGCCTGGCCCCAAATCCCTACCCAGTTGGCTTGCCTGCCCCTCTACTCCTTGTGGCCCTGGAGTGTAGGCCTGGGTGCCTGTGACTATCCCTAACCCCTGAGAGGGCCTCCAGCCAAACCAGCTCCCACTGTCCATCTGCCCCATCTTCTTCCTGCATCCACATGGCTGAAGGAAGAGTTGGGGGGAAGTGACAGCGAACCTCTTAAGAGACCAGGTGCCCAAACTGCAGCCTTAAACCCACTTTTTACCCCCAAATGCCAACACTGCAATTAAACCTGAACACTGAGGCTCCAGTTTAGGAAAAACAACTCTTATTCAATGCTTGGTTTTGACAGAGAAGGCTCTGCATGCCCGCTGTGGCACTCACGTCACAGCTTTGCTAGCCCTGGCCTAGGGGAGGACCTCAGGTCTGGACAATGCATTGCTTGAGACCCAGTCCAAATGTTGCAAAGGTAAATCATCACTGACCCTCTGGGTACCAACCCCCTTTAGTCCACTGCTGTATCCTGCTGCCCCTCTGCCCTGCACTGGGCACTACACGACGGTGTCCTTTACCTCCCAGGACAATCAAGGCTTCAAGTAGGAAGCAGGCAGATTCCATCTGGTTTCATCCCCAGGCACAAGGCGCCTGGCTGCTCAGGCACATGCAGTGAGTGCTTCACTTACTGATCATAGGCCCAGCCCACACCCAGGCCTCTCTAGTCTTCCTGGTAGGCTGCACCATCCCCAGCAGCACGGGATACACCCCCTCACCACGCCTGTATTTTTTTCCCTCCCCAAGTGGTAGGCCAGCCCTGCTTGGGGCTGAGGGAGTGCCCCTGATCAAGAGCCACCTTGCGTCTGAATCTTGAGCAGTTGGTGGCATAGAAGCCTCCATTCTCCTTCAGCGGCCAGTCAGTCACTGCACCCACCTCTGGCTTCCCTGCCAGGCACTCTTGCCTGCCCCCAGGCCTCATTTCACACAAAGATTTCCACCTGAGCATTCATCAGGAGCGGGTGGTGTCTACTCTCTGAGGAACCAGGAGCCTCCCTGAGCTCAGCTTCAAACAAATCTGGGAGGGAGAACAGTCTTTCGATTGAATGTCGATAGTGCCCCGTTTTTCCATCATTTTTAAAAATCATTTTTAAAAATTTCAGTCTCAGTTGGGAGGGTCCCTCAAAACCCACCGGCACCTTGAGACCCTGGCTGAGGCCCAGGTCCGGTGCTGCTGTGGGTAGGCCCGTGGCATTGTCGATTCTTCTCCCCTCAGAGTAGTCTTCACCAGGCCTCAGACTGGGAACCCAGGGCAATTGTCCCCTTCTTGAGGATGTTTCCATACAGTGCTGTCTCCCTGTAGGAGGAGCAGAGCTGAGCTGAGCATAGGGCCAGGGTGCTGTCTTAGAGACACGGTAGATCCCATCTGCTTCCCTCCCACCTGCCGGACAAAGATCCAGGGAACAGCCACTTTGGACAAGGTAAACGAGACCCTGCTTGCCTAAATTCCTCCTGCTGTTTGAGTCTCAACTGGGCAGGAGCTGAGCAGAGAGTGAGAATGGGGCCTTCCCAAAGGCCTGAAGTGAGGGCATGTCTGAGCCAAGAGACCCAGCTGGTACTTACCCTGTTGCAACAACAGCAAAAGCCTTTTTGGCTCATTCATAAAACTCAAATCTCTCTATCTTCGCCAGGGATCCCTAGAAGACAAGATGGCATGGCACGGTTGGAAGGACTCTGTCCAGTAACCCTTATGGGTAGGCCCTGAGTCCCTGAGCAAGAGGCTAGGGCACAGGTTAAGGCTCTCTGGGCTCTGCTGCTTTGGTTCTCCTAGTACAGGGGTCCCAAGGGTCTTCAGCCTCTTAACTTCAAGGACTGGACAGTGGAGACACGGGGTGTCTCTCAAACCCCATCTGGGGCCTAGGCTGGCCAAGGTGATGTGCTTGGCATCTCCTGGCCTGGGGCTGCTCAGCCAGCTTGGCAAACCATGCAGTTCCTTCAAACTTGCCTGGGGATTTAGCTCAGTGATGCTGCCACATGCCTTGCAAGTACAAGGACCTGAGTTAGATCTCTAGTAAAAACAAGAAACAAAAAACAAAACAAAGCAGTTCCTCCAAACTGGCTCAAGGGATGCCCTGGGCCAGATGGGAGTTCCTGGTCTGCTCCCCTCCGGTAGGTCCTGCCCAAGACTTGAGAATGAGTGAATGAGTTTCCCAGGAGAATCAGCATGTCTCCCACCAGCAAGGGTGAGAAGTGTGTGATATGCAGACCACAGCCAGAATGGGGTAGGGGAGAGAAGACCTGGGACACAGGGGCACAACCATGGGAGGTTGGAAGGGGTGGCCAGGCAGCCCTTAGCCACCTAGCTCCATGGGGACGGACCCCCAGGCAGAAAGGTCAAGATCCTGGGCAAGAAGTGGGGAGCTTAGGGTTCAGGGGGAGGCAGCCATATAGCCTAGATGTGCTTCCGTCTCTGCTAGTGGGGGCAGCTAATGGTACTGAGAGCTCACACAGCTAGAGATGAAGGTCAGGTGAGGAGAGTGTGAGACGGCCCTCATATCTCACTCTTCCTGAGCCTCCAGAAGACATGGCGTCCCTGGCCCCTCCCATGGTCAGGCTGCAGGTTCACCGTGCAGCCAGCCTGGAGCAGGAGGATCTCATAATCTTTCCACACTGGGGTCTGCAGGCCCCTCTCCTTGTCGCTGGGCACCAGCTCCATGACAGCAGCCTGGGATACAGGAGTCAGTTCTGCGGCCCTGAGCACCCCAGCTCTCCCCTGGCTAGTGACCATTCCAGGTTCCTCCAGGGTCAGGGGCCCTTTGGGGGCATATGGCCTCCCCCCACTTTAAGGCAGATGGCCTGGTGAAGTCTGTCAAAGGGGAAACTGAGACACAGAGCAGCCGAGCAGCTTTCTGGCCCTCACCGGGCTCTCCACATAGGTGTCCAGGGGCAGCAGCTTCAACACAGCTTCCAGGAGCTTCTGGGTGCCCAAGCCTGGGGGGACAGAGCTGGGCTCAGACTCCTGCCCTCCCTATGGCGCGCCGCCATTCCCACCCCCTTTCACTCTTTGGCCTCAGTAAGGATCATTTGGGGCCCAGGACCACTGCCTACGACCACCCTTCCCAGCCCACCCCTTACTCCACTCTCCTCACCATCTGCCCGGATCTCCACAGGCCCACACTGACAGATGGAGGAGGTGGGGAAGTTAGCGTCTGCAAGAACTGAAGAGGCAGTCAGAAGGCCCAAGTGTGGCCCAGGGATCAAATAGTCCACCCACCCACCATGGTCAGAGGGTGCAGGCGGTGGGTCACTGCCAGGGCTCCCTTGAGCATTTGGCCCAGTGGGAAAAGCAGACGCGGAAGGCGACACCCTGCCTGGGAGGAGGGGCAGTAACAGTGCCCTAGCTTCCAGCCGCTCAGCTCCAGCCCCGGGTCGCTGACCTTAGGAGGCATGGGGGCGGGGGTGCAGCGGTGGGGGATGGTAGGACCGGGGCTGGAAAAGGAATCCTGCTCGGTTAGTCCAGGACTGTGGAGGAATGGAGGTGGGGGCGGAAGGTGGGACCGTGGGACCCGCCCAAGTACACTTCCATCCGGGCTAAAGGCCGCCACCACCTCGTGACCGCCGGGGCTGAAGCCAAGAAATTTGCAGCTGGTGTTGCCCACCCGTGCCAACTCCCTACGGTAGCAGGGTTGGGGCTTCCTGCTCAGAAGCAAGGGGTTGCTGCGGCAGTGCCCCAACCCCTTTCTGAGAACTACGCTTAATACCTCCCAGGCTGCACCCCTCGCGCTCACCAATCTCGTCTCCGTGCCCCATGCGCGCCAAAGCATACAGCAACTCTGGAGACAGTAGCGCAGGGACGCCTTTCAGCACCACCATATCTGCGGACTGGGCGGGGCCTCTGGGAACCCGGCTTGGGGACAAGGGCGGGGCAAGTGGGAGGGCGGGGCCTAAGGGCCAGTAAGTCTCTGCTGGATGCTCAGCTAGGGCAAAAGTAGGTGCAGGAGCTCTCAGTCCTGTGAAGGTCAGAAGTCCTGGCAACTGGTGGGTGAATTCTGGAAGTCAGTATGTGTGGGGAGACGACACAGCCACAGCAGACACCGGAGAAAACACATGTGTTCTTTGCTCCATCCAGGTCGTGCACTCGGGCAGTTCAGACGCCAGAGCTAGGTGTGAAGCTCCCAGGGGGGTGAGGGCCGAACCAGAACAGTACCTGCTCCAGCTGTGAGTGGGAAGAGTTACCGTTCACATGTGCTGAGGTTTCATTGTTTTAGTGCAAGAACACAAGGGCAAGCCAGTTTAAGGACTAAGACAGGGTGTCAGCTTCAAAAGCAAATCAACCCCCGTCCCCCAACCTTCATGGGCCACAGGTCGATCAGCTCAAAGCCAGCGGGAGCTTCACAGAGGTTTGGGGCTGCCCCTGGCTGGGACAGTCTCTGCTGCCAAAACCTGACCTTCCGACCTCTCTGAAGCCGGCAGCCACTGAGAAGCCCAGGAGGTGAGCTCCTGTCCAGGTTAGGGCCCAAACCAAAGGAAGGGGCATACACACAGACACCTGCGATGAACTTAGCAGGTGCAGTGTTGAGTCCTTTCTTGCTTCTGACCTGAGCAGTAAGAAGTGAGTTTCCAAGCCTTTCTCAAAATCAAATTATGGAGGCAGATGGCCAGTGCATGAAACAAATTAGATGATTATGTTTTTCTCAGTTTTAAGATTTCCTCTGTTGGATATTTAGAACTTTGGTGGCTTTTCTTGTTTATTCCAGACTCTGGGGTCAATGGTCTCAGGCATGAACTCCACGTGTTCAGCTTTAGCAATGAGCACATCCACATCAGTGCTCCTGAGGTCCAGCTCCCTGGCTGGGGAAAAGCCATTCCACTCCGTGGGGCCCAAATTAAGTTCCCTTTGTACCTGCTTCTGCGAATAAGCATGTGCCAAGGAGTCCAAGATCCAGAGACTTATCTGCCAAGGTCATCTGCCTTCTGTGTGAAAGGGGACTGCATGAGAACTGAGTTGGCCCTCTGACAGTGGAGTTAACAGAACCCAGCTCCTGGTGGTGGACAGGAGGGCATGGTGGATTACAAGACTCACACCTGCAAGGCAAGTGGTCCCTATGGTGCATGTGAACCCACTTTGCTGTGAGCTGCCATCTGAGGAGTGCACAGCCACAGCGTGCAAAGGTCAGATAGGTTCTTAGTACATCCTTGGTCCATATTAGTCCTTTCCTTGTCCACCTCAGATCCTCCAGGACAAGGACTCACTCCTGGTCCATGCCAGCCCAAGGCCATGACCACAATCTGAAATAAGTGCCTATGCCAAGCTGTACAGTCAGGTGGAAGATACCTGTAAATGGCATTCTGGGATGGTCTGAGCTGGGAAGAGTGGGCTTCACCACAGGAGAGTCCTGAGGCCCAGATCCTGGGACAGGCCAAGCATCATTTTATTTGGCTGAGCTGTGCAATGTGGTAAGCACACTGTGGTCCCTCTGGTATGGTCTGTGTATTGGCTGTGTGTTGAATATACATGGTGCTCAGTTATCGTTTGAGCAAACCTTACCCTGCATTCCTAGACTGAACTCAACTTCTTCCCTCATGCAGAATCTTGCCCTGGTTTATAGCAAACAAAGCCAAGTCCCCTGACAGGTGGGTCCCATCGATAGGGTATCATTTGGAGGCTTACAGCAGCCCTAGCCCACAAAACTTGCACAGCATTGGTGTCCACCTGTTGAAATGCAGATCTCTCAGCCTCACCTTAGTGGGTCTAAGGCTGTCCTGAGACTTGGGAGCCTCTGACCTGAGGCAGTGTCTCCCACCTTCACATGTCAAGGTCATAGGATTTGTGTCAACTTCTTCACCAACACTTGCTGAAGAAGTTTCAAATGGAGAACTTGGAGTTCTAAGAATAAAGTAGAGATGGGCTCCTATAACTAGAGTCACAAGGGAACCAAACAGCACTGCTAGGTCCCTCTTGCTGCATAGCAACCCAAGAACATGGCTGGCCCTCCTGGAATGTGAAGCCACTAAAATAACCATGGCAGGAACATGTACCTTAAAATGGCTCTTGTACACATCTGTATTGTGTCTCTAAATCTCACATAGTAAATGGCACTGAGTATGACAACTACTGTATTTTTGATGTGGCATTTTTCTACCTTGAGTTTGTATTTTAGATATCACTAGATGCTGTGAAGAATAAGGATTCCAGGAAGAGAAAAGAAAATGAGGGCAGACTTGTGGGTGGAGAACTGTGCATGAGTGTGCATAGCACCCACATATGAAACAAAGCATCACAACTAAGCACGTGTATGCATGTTTGGGAACAGAAATCCTGAAAGGGTGCATGCCCAACTGTTCACGTGGTTAATTACCCTGGGGATGTGACATGGGTATAGCTTAGTTTATGGACCTCAGTTTTATTTGAATGTTATCACAATGTAAAAAAAAAATTTAAAACCAACCAATATATAGGATATTTATCCTTTAAAGATGATTAAAAGTAGGGGGATGGGGATTTAGCTCAATGTTTCTGCTGCCTGCCTCACAAGCACAAGGACCTGAGTTCGATCCCTGGTACCAAAAAAACAAAACAAAAAAACAAAAAAACAAAAAAACAAACAAAAAAAAAACCAATAAAGATGATTAAAAGTAAAGTATAACTAACTTCAAGTAGTTACTTTAATTAGCGTTACTCTGTTCAAAATCAACAGACAGGAACATCTTTCCCCAAGTACCCACACATACCATGACCGGGCAGGCACCCACTTTCCATCTGGACTTGATCTGCACACAAAGGTACCACTGGTAAACTAGTATCCCAGTTCCTGAAGTGAAGTAAAAAAGTAAATACCCTGAAGGCTCCTCAGCAGAACTTTTGATTGTAAAAGAATCTGTTCTGGTCGGAATACAACATGACTGACTCTCATGACAGGCCAGCTGTTCAGCAGAGCTCAAGCTACAGCCACAGCCCCATTGGCCATCAGCAAGAAACCACATCTCACCTACACTACCCTTTAAAAGGAGACAATTTATTTGCTTCCAAACCAACGGCTGCTCTTTCCTCTCTAGAGGTGTAAGGCCCAGGTAGCTGGTTCTCAGTGATCTTTGAAGTTGGCCTTTCTCTTTTCCACAAATGCAGCCATTCCTTCCCTCCGGTCATCCTAGCAGAAAAAGGAAGAAAACCAGAGGTGAAGTTTGTATCTCCCCACTGAGATCCCCGCTTGCCTGTGTCTTTGGGGTTGCTCTTCTCACTCACTCAGGCTGTTGTCTTTGCTCACATGGTATGGGGCAGGTGATCCCACAGCAAGGCCACATACAGCACGGAAAGGACAATATTCCTGACCAACAGGGTTGGAGCTGGGAATGGAAGTTTTCATACCCTCTCCCAGGATGACAGTCACTCAGAAACCATGAATGTCAGTAAACTGCCAAATGAAGACAGCCTCAGAGGCGTAAGTCTGGGCCACCCTCTTCAGCTGGATCTAGCATGGTGCAAGTCAGGCATCACATTCATGGATCACAACTCCACCCTTCATCTTCCCTCTTCCTTTACTTGTGTCCATGTACACATATGTGTACACCTGAGTGCACAAATCTTCACTTCTTAAAGAGCCAAAAGCATTTTAATCTTTCTTTTGTAAAATGCCTATATATGATTCTTTGATGATAATAAAAGAAGTGACTCATAATGGCAATTGAAAAACATTTCCTTTAACATGTTCCTTCCAACTTGAATCACTGGTGGTACATATGTGACTGTGCCATCAGGTGGCTTACACCACCAGTGGTTCAAGCCACCCAGCAGCAAGACATGTCATGAGCGTGTTATTGGCAGAAATCCTAAAAAATATTGCTATAAGGTGTTAGTTTACTATTATAATGCTTTCAAGCCACATTCTATTAATTTTATTGGTACATGTTAGGTATACAATATAATGACATTCATCATTAGAAATTTGCACCTTTACATAATCTATCTTGATTCTTATTTCTTCCCCATTCCCCTGCCCTCCCTTCAACCCTTCCACCCCACCCTATTTATAAAGACTTTGTTTGCATATTTTCATTTTTTCATATTAACTCCACAAGCCACCTTATAAATAGTGGAATAATCTAGGGAAAATACAGCTGAAATAAATTACAATTTTTTTCTTTTTCTTTTTGAGATAGGATCTTACTGTGTCACCCAGGCAGGTCTTGAATTCCTGCACTGAAGTTATCCTCCTGTCTCAGCCTCCTAAGTGCTGGGACTACAGGTTTATGTCACTGCACTTGGCTCTGAATTGCATTTTACATAAAGGAGTTTTTAAAAAAATTTTATTACCAGTACATATTTACAGTACATAATGATTACATTCATTGCGGAGAGTTGTTACATGCATACAACATATATTAATTCTTTACATCCCCCCTCTCTCTCTTCCTTCTCTATCTTTTGATCCTCTTCCCATTTGCAAAAGGTCTGAATCCTTATTTCCTATTATCTATTCTTTATTTCACTTTTTTATCTATTTATTTGTACTTTGGGTTTCTCATATAAGAGAAACCATATATATTTAAACGTGTGTCTGATTATTTCATTTAACGTTATGGACTCACGTACATCCTTTTAGGAGCTGCTGCTTAAGGGTGCAGTTCACAGGACCTTCTTGCAATAGGAAGAAGTTTTTATTCTTTTTTCTATTTCCACACTGTACTTTTCTGCTAAAAGCAAGGCCCACTGATAGAACAAGTCTAATCTAGCTAGAGAGGACTCTAAAAGTTTAGACCAAAAGGAAATGGCATTTAAGGATAGAGTGTGAAGAAAATTCCCAGTAACTCCTTAATTAGAACATGTTTGATTCTCAGCAGAATATTGTTTACTCACAGTGGCAAAGGTTGAATAGAAGAGTTTCTTCTCCAATT